CTAGTGTGATAAAAGGGGAAGAAAACTATTTTGAACTTAATTATTAATAAGCAATAAATGTTTTGATAGCATGTTTATACATGTGATAATTTGAATGATACAAATTGACAACTTAAAAAAAAAAAATTTAATGATAATTTTATTTTTATTTAAAGGGGGATTTGGCTAAAAAGAAAATTTACCCAACATTTTGGTAACTTTTTATTTTTAATTTTTTTATTTTTGTTGTGTTTTTTAAATTTAAAAAAATTTTAACTACAGCAAAAATTACCAATTATGCTACATAGTTTCTAAATTTTTCAAAATTATAATTAAAAATTTTATCATAGTTGATAAACTCTTGTGTATTATAGCTAAATCAAAAATTAAAACAGTAAAAAAGTAAAAGAAAGACAAAACAATAATAGTAACAAGTTGCGTCAAATTTTTGCACAAAATAAACAAAAGCAATATTAGCACAAAGAACAAAATGAATTCGTAAAAATAGTACAGTATAATAAGCAGCATATTTGTATTTTACTTCTGGAACTGAAATAATGCTTTTTTTTCATAGTGACATACTGTGACAGTTTTTCTGTGTATGTTTGTACATATGTTGTACAAGATTTTTTTCAATTTTTTAAAACAAGAAAAGATTCTTTTCTGCAATTGATCTTGATTTATAACTTCCCAATACACACAGTCATCAAGTGTTAACCCGAAATTCTCAATATGGTGTAATTCTAGAACATAAATATCAACTTTTGTCACATAATTAAAATAAAATAAAAAAATTCTTATTCAATGTTCTCCTCATCCAGAAGTGTGGTCCATAATTGACATTGATCATCATAATTGACTTCTGATACAATGCAAAGAAACTAAGTTAGGAAAAAATACAGTACTATCACTGTGATGTTTGTTAAGAAAGAAATAATGTTTTTATGATGCAATTATTTTTATACTCTGTTTGGTTAATTGCTAGTTCCACAGGTTTGTTGAGAGATTCCACAGGAGATATGCAAATCCACAAATTCTTTTTTTAAATTTACTTCTGCGCTTGTATTTTACAATTTGCCCAGGCAATTTTAATCCCTTTAAAAGTTTCAATTTGTTTATATTGTCCTGTAAAGACATTTTTATGTGCAATTTTTGGTTCATCTGAATAAAATCCTTTGATTCGTAAAGACTCCAATAGTCACATGCTAGGTTTAGGGGTATACATACGCATTAATTCCCCTATTTGTCGTGAAATCAGGTTCGAATCCTTTGACCATTCTTTTATGTGCTTTCGCCTAGCACCTCTTCACTCTATCACCTTTCTCTTTGTTCTTTATCGTTCTCCTTCTTCCCATGATTGCACTCTTTTAGATGTTATCTCTGATCAAATTGACCATGCCCTCTCTCTTTACCTTTCTGCCAATATTGTTGTTGTTGGTGATTTTAATGCCCATCACACTGAATGGCTTGGCTCTAACACCACTGATCCTGCTGGCACTAAAGCCTTTAACTTCTGCGTTTCTCAATCTCTTACTCAGATAGTTAACTTTGTGACTCGTTTTCCTGACAACCCTAATCATTTACCTTCACTCCTTAACTTATGTCTTGTCTCTGACCCTAGCTTATGTTCAGTTCTCTTTTCTCCCTTAGGCGGTTCTGACCATGCAATGATCTCTATAAATCTTTCTTCTTGTACTTCTTTTTTGGGCTCACTTTATCATCGCACCACCTACTACTACCCTAAAGCTGACTGGGATTCCTTTCGTGATTTTCTTTGTGATGGTCCTTGGGCTGATGTTTTTTCTCTCTCAGTTGACAAAAGTGCCTCCTACGTAACCTCCTAGATTCAGGCTGGAATGGAAGCTTTTATTCCTTCTCGTCGGTTTCAAGTCAAGCCTCATTCTACTCCATGGTTTTCTCCTTCTTGTGCGGCTGCTATATCCAATCGTAATCATTTTTTTCATCTTTTTTAAAAGAACAACTCTCTTGAGAACAAACGGCTATTTATTATTGTAAGAAATCGATGTAAAAAGGTGCTTTCTGATGCTAAACTCCATTATTCTCAGTTCACTAAATCTCGCATCTTATCGCAGAAGTTAGGCTCTAAAGACTTTTGGAAAATCTTCAACAGCATTGTTAACAAGGGTAGATCTAACATTCCATCTCTCATTCATGGGACTGATCTTATTACCTATCCCAAGGATAAGGCAGAATTATTTGCAAAGAGCTTTTCTTCTAATTCCACTCTTGAATCTTATGGACATTCTCTTCCTTCCATTCCAGTCAAACAGGTTGACCCATTGTTAGACATTCAAATCACTCCAGCTTCTGTTGCTAAAGTCATATCTCAATTAAAATCGTCTACAGCTTGTGGTCCAGACAACATTCCTGTCACAGTCTTGCAGAATTGTTCTCCAGAACTTTCTTCAGTTCTCTCTAAACTATTTAACAAGTGTTTGACTGAGTCTTGTTTTCCTGCTTGTTGGAAAATGGCATCTGTGGTTCCAATATTCAAAAACTCTGGAGAAAATTCTGACCCCTCCAATTATCGTCCGATCAGTCTTCTTTCTGTTATTAGCAAGGTCTTTGAGTCTTTGATCAACAAATTCCTCACATCTCATCTTGAGTCAAATAAACTGCTGTCAGACAATCAATACGGTTTTCGATCCTCTCGCTCTACGGCCGACTTGCTAACTGCTGTAACTGAAAGATTTTATCGTGCATTAGATGGAGGCGGTGAGGCTAGGGCTATTGCTCTCGACATATCTAAAGCTTTCGACAAAGTTTGGCATGCTGGTCTTCTCCATAAGCTTGCTTCATATGGTGTTTCTGGGAAAGTTCTTGAGATTATCAAATCATTTCTTTCTGACCGGTTTATTAAAGTCATCCTTGAAGGCCAACACTCTTCTTTATTTCCAGTAACTTCTGGGGTTCCCCAAGGTTCCATCCTGGGCCCTGTTTTGTTTCTTATCTACATAAACGATCTTCCTGACAACCTTTCATCTAAAGTAGCTCTTTTTGCTGATGACTCAACTTTATACTCCTGTCTTGACAAAAAGTCTTCTCTTTTCGATCGCCTAGAACAAGCAGCTGATCTTGAATCCGATCTCACTTCAGTAATAGATTGGGGTTCACAGTGGCTTGTGAATTTCAACTCTAAAAAAACCCAGTTGCTTACTGCAAACAACTACCGTAATATGGTCAACATTCCTATATTAATGAATGGCGATCCTCTTACTGAGTCGTCCTCTTTACATCTTCTTGGATTATCGCTTACTACTGACCTTTCATGGAAACCATATATACAATCGATTGCTAAATTAGCTTCTGCTAAGGTTGCTTCTCTTTATCGTGCTCGCCATATCCTTACTTCTGATTCCATTCTCTACCTCTACAAATCTCTTATTCGTCCCTGTATGGAATACTGTTGTCATATTTGGGCTCGTTCTTCTAACGATTCACTTTCTCTTCTTGACAAGGTCCAAAAACGCATTGTAAATGTTGTTGGACCTGGACTATCTGCTAAGCTTGAACCTCTTTCCCATCGTCGTAAAGTTGCATCTCTTTCTCTTTTCTACAGATACTATCATGGTCACTGCTCAAAGGAGTTATCATCTCTAGCTCCATCAACTAAAATTCATTCTCGTTTTACTCGTCATTCAGCTAAGTCTCATTTGTTTACTGTATCTGTCCCTGCATGCTCTAAAAACTTTTATTCATCTAGTTTTTTTCCCCGCACTTCAATCCTTTGGAACTTTCTCCCATCTTCATGTTTTCCAGACTCATACAACCTTCAACTTTTCAAGTCTTCTGTCAACCGTTTCCTTGCTCTATAACTCTGTTCTTTTTTTTTCCTAGTAACTCCCAACTTAATAGTGGTTGCTTGCAGCCTTGTTGGGAGTGAATGCAAATAAAAAAAAAAAATCCAGCAGTTTTGAAACACAGTTTGATAGATTTATATTTTTTTATTTATTTTGTGAAGTTTGCAATAATCTATATACTTTATGAAAAAATTATTTGGTTTAAAACACTTTTTACTTTGAATAATTGTTTCCTGTTTATTTATGGTTTGATCAATAAGTAAGTTGTCATTTTGTTAAAGATAGTTTGACAAAATGTTCATGGATGGTAAAATGTCACTGATGTGATTTTCTAATTGGTTTTCTAATATTGACAATAAAAGCATGTTTTTACCCAGAATAAAATTACCACATAAATATTAAATATACTACTTGTATTTAATAAAAGTTTCATTAAATCTCGATATTTGTTGCTTTTGAAGTTATTCTTCCGTAGAATCATACCTCATTGTTATTATAGAAATCTTCTACAGTAACAATAGATAAAATTATCTCCAAACCAGTTCAAATCTGCATATTCAACTTTTGATTCATTCAAACTCACATTAGAATCATAAATTTTGAAATAAGTGGAAGTTTGTTGGTCATTTCAAGTAGAACTTGATGAAACTTGGCTTATACTAATAAGGAAAGTAAATTCTAAAAATTTCAGTACAAAGTCTTTTCTGGTTCAAAAGATACAGTTGTTTAAAATTTCTGATCTTTCTAAAAAAAAATTCAGTAGTAAAAACATGTTTTATTCATATTATATTTTGATAATATAAACAAGCTCTATATTTGTAAACCTTATATATATATATATATATATATATATATATATATATATATATATATATATATATATATATATATATATATATATATATATATATATAATATATATATATATATATATATATATATATATATATATATATATATATACATATATATATATATATATATATATATATATATATATATATATATATATATATATATATATATATATATATATATATATATATATATATATATATATATATATATATATATATATATATATATATATATATATATATATATATATATATATGTTTGTAAAGACTTATCAAAATAAAAGGCTCTATTCTCAAAAAAAAAATTTTAACATAAAAATTATTTCAAAAAACTGTAATATTCATATTATCCAAATTAAGCAATTTTTTCAATGAGTTCTACATTATTTTAATCCAACTTTTATACTGTTAAATAATATTTTTAAAAAATAAAAATTGAAAAATTGTTGAAGAAGTAGATGAAATTAAAAGATCAAAGATACATAACAAATTTTGCTGAAGTTAATGAAAGACATTTATTTGAAGAGCAAATTAAT